GTATGATCGATAAATATGATCAATTTTATTTACAATTACAAGAGAGGACTGATAAGGTGCCAAAAGGTGATATGATTATTTTAATGAGAGATTTTAATGCTTGTGTTGGTAAACAAGAACATTTAATTATATCCCAGATGGTCAGACCCCTTGTAGCTGATCTTAAAAATGAAAATTGCATTAGACTTGCCGATTTTTGTTTAGCAAATGGTATAGTTATTTCAAACACTTTTTTCAACATAAGACAATGCATTAGTGAACAAGAAATTTAAAATAAAGTATTGATGAAGAGCAGCTGGAAGTATTGGAACTGATCATCATCTCATGCGATCTAAAATTAATTTATATTTGAAATTAAGAAGAAGATAGTTCCAACAAAATCAGTTACATTTAGATCATTTCAACTTACAAGATGAAAATATAGTTAATCACTTTTAAAATTATATTGAAGGAGCTTTTGAAGACAAAAAAGATGATGATGATGATGCTAATATTAATTAAAAAAGCTTCACTTTTGCACAATGTATTAAAGAAGCTGCACAAATGCATTTTAAAATAGGCAACAATATCAACAACAATAGAAAAGCATGGATGACTGATGATATATTGAAGGTAGTAGAGAAGAAATCATCTGCTTATTTAATATGGCAAAATTACCTAGGTACGTCGAAAAAGAAGAAATATAATGACGAATACGTAATTCATAGAAGATCAGTTAAATCAATGGTAAATGAAAGTCAAATTGCATACTGAGATGAATTAAGGAAAGGAATTGAAGCAGCTATCCTTAACCATGATCCAGCATCTGCTTATGCAATGATTAGAAGATTGAAAGATGGACAACAAAATTCAGAGAATAGTGCTGTTCAAGATAAAAATGGTAAATTACTTATCAGTTCTAGGGATAAATTGGGCAGACGGAAAGAATACTTCTATGAGTTATTAAATGTTAAATTTATCGTTGATTCAAATGTTATTTACCACATCTCGACACTCTCAATAACAACAACAGAACGAGATAGACTGAATAAACCATTGACACTAGAAGAACTTGATCAAGTATTAAAACGAATGAAAAGTCGAAAAGGCCGTGATAATGACGATATTAGTGCTGACAAATTCAAAGTATGTGAATTATCTCTTCTTAGATGGCTTCATGAAATATTTGTTGATATTTGGCAAAATGAAGGAATAGTCAACCATTGGATCTTAGCCATTTTCATTCATTTTTTTAAAAATAAAGGTGACAAAAAACAATGCGATATTATCTTGACATCTCTCTATTAGTAGTAGCCAGTACATTATTTACTGGAGTGATTCTTCATCGTCTTCAAAAATTAATTGATAAATAATTATTAGAACGACAAGCAGGTTTTATATATCCAACAGTCCAACTATAGATCAAATATTTATAGTTAAAATGATTATAGAAAAATTAAGAAAAATAATAAACCATTGTTTATGTGTTTTATAGATATTCAAAAAGCTTATGATTCAGTTAAAAAAGAATTATTATGGGAAATTTGTTAACATTATGGTTTAACAAAAAAAAAGTCGTCCGGTTACTTAAGTGAATATATAAAAATACAAGAGGAGAGGTAGGAATGAATGGTGTGTTTTCCGAAAGTTTTGTTATTGAAACTGGTGTTATGCAAGGGAGAACTCCTTCACCTATTTTATTATAAATATCCTATTCAATTTCATTATCAGGCAGTTGTTAGAAGAAGCACCATGGAAAGGTATTAAATGAGCCTATGGTAGCAATAATTTTTTACCATGATAATCGAGAAAAGTACGACAAATTTAACATTCTAACATTAGTGTATGCGGATGATCTACTCGCAATGCGTAACAACATAAATGATCTTCAAACGTTTATTGATGTCTTTGAAAAAGTAACACAAAAAGATGGCTTAATAATGAATGTGAAGAAGACATGTATAATGCTCTTACAACATTTTAAACAAGATATAAATGGAAAAATTTTAAAAGAATCGAGCAACCAGTCAACCTGATATTGGTTTTACAATTAGAAATCAAAAATTGAAATAACAGACTCGTTTTATTATTTAGTGAGTTTACTTTCTAGAAATAAACGGTCTGATAAGGAAATAGAATCTAGATTAACAAAAGCAACAACAGCATTCAGCATGTTAAGAAATGTTATTTGGTATAGAAAAGCAATCTCTACAATGCCAAATTACGCATTTTGCGAGTCTGCGTACTTCCTGTTCTTTTATATGATAGTGAGGTATAGACCTTGACAGTTGCTCAAGAAAACAGAATAAGTAGTTTTTATATGAAATGTTTAAGCACAATACTTGGTTGAAATCTAAGTGATCGCGTATCAAATGCTAAAATTTTGAAATTATCTGGTCAACCTACAATTCAAGACATTATGAGAAATCTTTTAAGATGGTTTGGTCATGTAAACAGAAGGAAATATGACAACAGTCACGTTTTCATACTTTCCTGGTAGCAAACATCCTCAAAATGTTGGTATCAGCAAACATTGAGAGAACAAAATACTGAAAGATATCGAGAATTTTGGTATTAAAAACTGGAGAAGGGACACTAGAAACAGAGATTATTGTAGACAATTAATTAATCGAAATCCACAAATTACTTCTGTTCATTCAAACATCAAAAACATAGTGATGAAATATAAAGAACAAACGGACAAAGGAAGGATTCAAGATTCGATGGCGAAACATGGCGCTGTAGAAGAAAAAGTAACAGAAATATTGAGTAAAGATTCGAACAATTATTATTCATGTCCAAATTGTAATGGACGGTTTAAACCACCAGGAATCGCTGGACACTTAAAGTCGTATCCAAAAGAATGGTGTAACACGCACAAAATTAAGTTAAAATAGTAATGAAACAAATGAAATATCGCTTCCCTGGTGCTATGAAGATTACTATTAAAACCATGACGGAGGATAATAGTCGAATGATATACTCGGAGTCAATGCTTTATGAGAACGAGCATCACATAGGCTGTCAAGAACACTTAAATTGTATTCTAAACTATTGTGTGGGTGTGTTTTTTTTGCACTTTTATGTCTCACCCTACACCGCCAGGTAACTTGGGTTTAACTAACTCTTTGAATTCTATGTAAATGAAAATCGTTTC